TCTCTGATTCTCCCTAACCCTAACTCTTCTTCTCTTCTTCTCTAGTTCCTATTCTTCTCTGATTCTCGTCTTCTATGATTCGTTGGTTTGATTCTAAGGTAAGAATGTCTAGTCTTCTTCTCTAATTTTTTTTAAGGGTTTGATTGATTCTAGGGTTTGATTCGTTTAACGCCAACTCCTTTTCTTCTCTGATTTAATCATTTTTAGGGTTTGATTCTTTGTAGATGAGTACTGGGAACCCTTACACAAGATACCTTTTTAATGATGGGCTAGCTTCTCCCACTAGTTCTCAAGCAACCTAACAGGCGGGAAGATATGCAACCGGTCAAACCGCTCCAGCGACAGCTTCGTCTGGTGGTGGTGTGCCTAATGCTGGTTCATCTCATGGTGAGTCTAATGCTGGTTCGCCTCGTGGTGAGTCTAATGCTGGTGCGCCTCTTCATTCAGAAGGTTCAAGGCCTCAGTCACCAGCAACACTTCTCAATAGTCTTACTTTGGAGGAGTTGCTGGAAAGCCCTGGGCGAGAAGGTTTAATGAGACTAGATCCTAAACGCCCACCGGGAACCTTTTGGTAAGACCTTCTGGTAATCAAACTAATCCAGTTTTAATCATAGCATTATAATTCACACTTACAAAAATGCAAAAGAATAAGAAACTACACAATGCCATAATTTTGGTGCTAATAATAGTGATTATAAGATGTACTATACAACGGTTGCAACGGAAATAAAAATTGCAAATGCATCGTAAATAATGGGAAGGATGAAGTTCCTAGCAAATATTTGCAACGTAGTTGCAACAGAAATGGCCCTCGCAATTTGCGAGTATTTTGCGAGGGAATCGATACGTAGCAAAATTTGTGAGGGATTTGCAGCGTTGACCATTTTGCGAGAAGCGATTTGCGAGGAAGTGCCTTCCGTCGCAAATTCCTTATTTTAATCATTTTGCGAGGGAATAGCTATGTTTTCTTACATGATTTTTTGGCTTTTTCAAAATTTTCAACTTTTTTTGTTTTCTCTCAAATCAAAGCTATTCACAATGCAAGACTCAAAGAAATGAAAAAATAAAACAGAACACATCATTAGATACCTAACAAAAAAAGAGAATAGAAAAATACTAAAAACGGTATTTACAATGGAAAAGAAGTGGTACCTTGGAGTTTAGTGAAGTTTTGTAGGCTTGTTCTGCCTATAGGTCCTTGGACCTTAAGGGAGAGGCGTGGAGGATCGATGACGGTTTGAGCACTAGAGGAGCATCCACAGTGGAGTGGCATGCTTCTTCTCCTTGTCCCGCATCACCATTTGCTTCCTCAATGTCCTCTTCCTCATTGTAGCCCTCATTTGCATGAGCTAAGAACTCATCTTCGGAAGATACATACCCCTCGGGCTCTAGCTCCTTCACCTTCCTCACAAGCCTTGCTCTTCACCTTGATACTTAGGAAAACTTTTTTTACATTAGCAAAGAGGTTGTTGCCAAGCACTACAGGAAAATTGTGTATTATGCAATATATATTATTTTACAATAGCGTTTTTGAAATGTCATGTATATGTCAAACGTAGAAATCATAAAATGTTATCTATAGAGATTAAACATAAAAATCTGCAAATGTTATTTAACTCGGTTTGTCGATTACATATTTTTATTTTATTAGACCATAATTTAATTTAATTTAGAACATATTTTTCTTTATTTTTATTTTTTAAATTTTAAATGCATGTAATTTAAAAAGAATAATTATAAATTAAATATTATTCATTGTTCATATTATAATAAATAAAATACCCGCACTTGAAGTTTACAATCCATTGTTCATATCCAAAATACAAAGTTGAAACTAAACCATACAAACAAATAATTTAACCAAAGTTCATATGTAGATTAACTAACACCTTCAGCTTCTGCCTCTTAGTTTCGACGATGCGACTTGCTTCTTGAGGAGTCAACCTTGTTCCTGTTTTGGTCGTTTAATTGCAGCGGAGAATTTTTGGTGTCTAAGCCTTTGTTCTTCATTTATCAGGTTTTGGATAAGTCTTCGGAACTCAAGTTTGATGTCTTCTTCGTCTTCCTCAACCCATATGAAGTATCCCATATTTCTTCCGTATTCTACTGGTGTGAGCTCCACCACATCACTTCCTTGATCATCATGTGCTTCTTCTGGTGGCTGTTGGTGGATCTTTGGTATGATTCCTTCACGTAAAGCAATACTGAATTTGGTTTGGCAAATGACATTCAATTGATTAATAAGCATTCAAACAAGTCTATTTAACCACTAAACACCCTAATCAACAATTTCCAAAGGCTAGGCATGTAAAGATCTTAAAGGTTTTTGGTTGAGGGATTTCAGCAAACACCTTTTTGGGCATGAAATCTCCTAATATCTATACACAATTCGATCAAGGTTTTTCTAGCATAAAAAGCAACCAATAAGAAAGGATAAACATAAATATAGCCTTAAATTTCATAACCTAACACTAAATCAACCTAGATCTACCGTATCTCAAAGACTCTAAAAGACTACTCACTAATCATGATGATTACACAATAGAAATGGTTTGTTCTTTGTGAAAATCATAAAGAAAGGGAGTAGATTAAGAAACAAAAAGTACTTAGATTAAAAATTTGAAGAATCACTACAAAGTCCAAGAAAGAACCTTAAGTATATTACAACCCGAAAAAAAGAATAAATCATGAATAATTAGGTTTAAGGGGTCAATCCGCTTTAAACCGGGTTAACCCAATTTTGACCCAAAAGGCTATTGTAGTCGCCCGACCGGGCATGTGGTCAGGCGCGATGTCTGCTTTGTTTCCCGTTCTGTCCGTCGAGGAAAATCTCTTGCGTCCGACTGGTTGCCCGATCGGTCCTGTCGGGCGTCACACTCGAACTATTTCTTTCTCCTTTTTTTTGTTCCTTCTTGCTTCATTGCTTCATCTACTTAGCTCCTCCCTCATCACCATTGCTAGAATGTTAGGGTTTAGGATGTTAGATTTTTAGGGTTTAGGGATTCATAAAATGTATAACAATCTTCTATGTCTTTGAACTCTTTGAATTTTTCAAATTTGATGCTTTTAACGAATCTTCTAACATATATCTATATAAAATAGATGAATAATCTAGTAGACTTAGATTGATCTAAGATATAACAAAATTGGAAATTTTAAAGATATTTGAAAATGGACATGAAAATAATGAGAGTACTAAATATTACCTGGGTGTAAGAATGTATTTTAACTAAAGCTTATTACTTCTTTTTGTTCGTTTCTAAAATTATAAATATTGTCATTTTTCGATGGCATTGCTACGAAACGTAGCGAATCCCTCTCAAATCTTTTGCAACTTAGTTTAAGGTTTAGGGTTTAGGGTATTAGGATGTTAAGTTTTAGGGTTTAGGATGTTAGGTTTTGGGGTTTAGGATATCCAATTTAATTAAAATATATTAAAAAACTCAATTGTTAATTTTAAAAAAAAATATTTAATTTCTTTGTGACGGAGTTGCGAGTGTCTGTAGCATATCTCTCGCAAATTTGAAAGGATTTGATTGGCTGTTTAGCGGTGAAGTTTGCAACTAGTTTTCGAGGGATAGCTTTGCTAGGGAGTTGCGACGCCCTTATTTTTCTATATATTAACTATAACCTAGTTTGAGCGAAGCTTAAACCATTCACTAATTGTCTTCTCATCTTCTTCTTCTCTAATCGTCTTCTTCTCTGTTCCTAAATGCCGTAACTCCGGCGATTAACCTTCCCCGGCGATTTACCCTAAGCCCGACGATTATCCCTCTTCTTCTCTATTTCTCTTCTTCTCTGATTCTCTTCTTCTCTGATTCTCTTCTTCTCTGATTCTCCCCAACCCTAACTCTTCTTCTCTTCTTCTCTTCTTCTTTAGTTCCTCTTCTTCTCTGATTCTCTTCTTCTATGATTCGTTGGTTTGATTCTAAGGTAACAGTGTCTAGTCTTCTTCTCTAATTTAATTGTTTTTAGGGTTTGATTGATTCTAGGGTTTGATTCCTTTAACGCCAACTCCTTTTCTTCTCTGATTTAATCATTTTAAGGGTTTGATTCTTTGTAGATGAGTACTGGGAACCCTTACACAAGATACCTTTCTAATGATGGGCTAACTTCTCCCACTAGTTCTCAAGCAACCTAACCGGCGGGAAGATGTGCAACCGGTAAAACCGCTCCAGCGACAGCTTCGTCTGGTGGTGGTGTGCCTAATGCTGGTTCACCTCATGGTGAGTCTAATGCTGGTTCGCCTCGTGGTGAGTCTAATGCTGGTGCGCCTCTTCATTCAGAAGGGTCAAGGCCTAAGTCACCAGCAACACTTCTCAATAGTCTTACTTTGGAGGAGTTGCTGGAAAGCCCTGGGCGAGCAGGTTTAATGA